AAACCAGTGGTGTTGTCGAGCCGGAACGCTCCGGAACGTCGTTCCGGTACTTCCTTTTTGGACAGGAACGCGTTCCGGAACTAAAGATGATTTCTGATAACGAGAATTGGCTGACGTATTGAAAAAAAAATTAAAAAGAATTGCTGATTTTTTTTTCTAATTTTTGACGAATTTTTATATGTATTATTATAAACAAGGGTTTGAACCGAACCCGAACCGGAACAAAAACCGGAACGAACCGGCTTGTTTTTCCGAACCGTGAACCGGAGTCCGGAACGTTTTTTTTCTGCTGAACCGGAACTCATATACATATACACAAAATGTGTTTCGTAATGATTTTCGTTTCCTTTCCTTTTTATGCTATATACAAGGCCGATCCTGGCGACGGGCGAAAATTGGGGGAAATCCCCCTCCGTCGTCGTCAAATTTGGGACATGAGACCGCACAGAGCGGCCGCCTACCCAGGATCGGCCCTGTCTATATAATTATATATACGCGTTCCGGTAAAAAAAAAATTAGCACAACACCACTGCGGGTGACGTTATAAAGAGTTTACACTGTATATTACGCATATCTGCATCTATAACCCAGCAAATTTATGATTTATTCTTGAGGGCTACAAAATCTTTCCGTCCGAATTGACCACTATAATTAATAAAAAGTTATTGAATCGGCCGAATTTAGGGATTGAAAAGGACAGAAATGAGGAGGTATATGTTATAAGGAAAGAGTAGGAAGAACAAAGGGCGCTATGGAAATCAATAGAGACTGAAATGATTTGATGGTATCAAACTATGTAGGTACACGCCTAACGTTAAGTTATCAAAATGAAGAGGTAATAAAATTTATTATGAATTCAAAATTTTGAATGCCTTAATAAAACGTTGTGATGCGTCGTTAAAGTCAGAATTTAATTTAAATCGGAACCTCATTTGAGTATTACCCTCTTTAAGTTTTTAAACTGTTTATCGCACTTAATATTGCGGATATATTTCCAATGGGCTTGTAAAAACAGAAAAACAAAGGTATTTTTTATTTACTTTTCCCACTTACGTGTACTCTATAATAATTTTTAGGCCCCTCTTTATTAATAAAAATAGTTGTCCTGAATAGTGCTCTTATTGTGCTTTGATGTGATGTTTGCACACTTCGTTATTAGTATTAAGGAGTAGAGAGAAATTTGGCAAATTTAGGTTCATCAATACCGATATCATTTATAAACAATAGAAAAAGGAAGGGGTCCTAATTGAGAGCCCTGTGGAACATCAGACGTGATCTCAAACGACTCAGACAAATAACCCTTGATTTTTACCCTCTGGGTTCTAATAGTCAGATAAAGTTTTATCCAAGATAATAGTCTACTACCAATTAAAGTTTAGAAATGAAGAGATATTAGAAAGAATAGGAGAACAGAGGAGTCTATGGAAGTCAATAAGAAATAGGCGAGATAGGTTGGTAGGACACCTTCTCAGGCATGAAGGTCTAGTCAGAGACATATTAGAGGCAGAAACGGGAGTTAGGAGGGGTAGAGGTAGACCTAGATTAGATTACTGTTCGCAAATAGTTAAGGATGTGGGCTGTTCTACTTTTAGGGAAATGCGAAGTTTAGCTCAGGATAGGAAAGAGTGGAGGTACGTGTCCAACCAGTCTTAGGAGTTAGGACTGACGACTCTATAATGATGACCAATTACATATTGAATAAGCTTATCTAACAATACATATACCACTATCGATAAAGTAGTTGTATACAGTAATAATTTTGTAGTAGTCGCTCTGTCTTTTGCAAACCCATGTTACGAATGACTAATTTCAAGTTAATGTTCGGCGAACTTACCCGCAAAAATAGGGTCAACAATTTTCACAACTTAAGATAATATATGTAGATATTGGTCTGTAGTCTGCATATTTAAAAAGGTTTATGAGATTGTGAAAGGAAATGTATAATGCGTTAAACAATGCTTAAAACTTATCTACATATACCTAACAGTTATTGCTATATCAGGTTGAAACTGGTTGATAATAGGTTCACGTCCGATTAAGATAATTCGATGGTTGATGCGAATGGTCCATGATCGGTGAAATCTGCAACAATCTGATTGTGAGTTTCCCACATGCGAATAGTGCTAACAATGTACAATGGGCCACAAATGCGTATCCTTGTTTCAGCTTTTCAGATAGTCGTCTCACTTTGCACCGCAACACGTGCAGATAATGCGGTCCATTTACTGCGTACCGGAACAGGTTGAAGGCAATTGTGTAAATCTGCTAACAGTCAGCACTGTAGTTGCGGTTTACAAATGATAAGAACGCGCAGTCCATTAAAGTGGGCTTTGAATAGGACGCCATTTCAAC